TCAATTTCGTCTTCAACGTACCTACACATAAAATAAACTCCATTAAGCACAAATATAGTATAGTTTAGCATTAAAGCCCCGAAATGTAAGGTAAATAATGCACTAAAATATGGAATTATAGCCAAACATCACTACCCCACACTTAAACGTTACTCGTCCTCGAGCTATCAAATTACACTTTATATAGACACGACCTTTTAAAACAATTCTCCTAACTCATCACACCAAGAATCTTTAAAATAGACTAAGTACAAAGATGTAACATCTTCACCTCAAGATTTGACTCACAAGTACCATGCATTATTCACCACTCACTCACTTACTCTAACATAGAGGTCAATGATATTATTACCTTTCCTTCATGAATAAAGTGCCCTCACACAACAAAAGAGAGTAGTTCCACACACATTAAAATTAAAGAACAATTAGGAACTCAAGATAGGAAGAATTCACTCACTCTCAGAAATAGCATTCATATGCCACAAAAGATGCATCATAAGCTTGCCCGTAGTATACTACTCTACTAATTGAGCTCATTCAATCTAGGATCAAGTATGACTTTAATTAGTTGTAATGTAGGTTGCGGGTCGGTTAGGATACATTTGGATATAAGAGTGACTACACCTCCCTAAGCACTTTAATACATATACTTTAACATTCAAATCCCATACATATGTCAAACTAAACTCCACCTTCACATCAATGTATATTACTCCATACTTCTTTTAAGCACAATTACATCAAGAGTCACCACTATCAAGGAATATTTTTCACAGCAATACAACTATATATATATATTTTTTTCTTTTTCAATTCACGTGGCTCTTACTTTTTCAAAACAATGCACCTTTCTCCTTATTTCATTAGTTCCACTCAAAAGTCAAACCAACGACCCCACACTTTAACTTTTACAAAGTTCATTACAATTCAAGTGCTCATGAGAGGTTAAAAGGTTCAAATAGATGGTTAATTCAAACAAATGGGTAAGGCTTGTAATGTGGTTGCCAAAGAAACATGATTAGAGGCTCAAATGGATTAACTACGATACATAACAATTAGGCGGGTAAACTATATATATCTGGCTCAACAAAGAAACGCCTATATCACTTCCAAGACTGAACAAAATACTATTTTGCTTTGCAAACACACGGGGCAAGTTCTAGACATCAAATGCAATGGACAAAATAACACACAAGTCTCATACACACATGGCACATAACTCACTCAGGATCGGACTCATCAAGACACTCTAGTCAAAGCAGTTAAGCAAATTTAAGATCATACAATTTAAGGTACTTATACAAGAGTAAAAAATTGAGCCTAAGCGTCATAACCAAACTATTCACTATTCTCAAGGCATAACAAAGTCAAGAGATATTGCTTCAATTCAATTCATCTCACAATGGCTCCTACTCCTAAAAAAATAAAACTAACTACACCCGGTTCAAACAAAACCCTTGAAAAAGAACCGTGGCACAAAGAAACACCAAGGGGGAATTACTACACTACATACAAAGAAAATCTTTTTGTCCTTTTTCCTTAGACTTAAATCCCTCAAGAAACTGTCTAGGAGATCCATCGTCGGGAAAAGTCCAATTTTTCTACTTTTTTTTCAATTGTTTTCATAGCTACTAAAATACTAAAACACTACACAACTACAAAAACAAAAATAAGAAGTTAACATTTTTCTAACATCCTACTACTAATTATCTAGAGAATTCTCCTACCCTACACTTAAAAGAGTACAGTGTCCCCAATGCACAAATAAAGCAAAACAATAACGAGGGTGGACAAGAAACTCCCTGAAAGGCCTAAGGCCGAAGCAATAGCGGCTCACGGGGTACTCAGACTTCCCCCAGGTATGGTCCTTTGTGTGGGCACCCCACACTTAGTTCCCACCATCTACTCGCTTTTGCACACTTCCAATGGCTTTGCCTCCTATGCTTATAATCCTGCAAAACAAAAACAAACACTACAGCAATAATAAGATAAAAAATAAAAATAAAAAAAGCAGTAAAGATGGGTTGCCTCCCAACAAGCGCCTGGTTTAACGTCGCGGCACGAGACATAACCTCGTCTAATCATTGGCAAGTAACACCTTCGACTTTTGACGATCAAAGTCACCTCCATAATAGTGCTTTACTCTTTGTCCGTTCACTAAGAATGTTCTCTTGCCACATATGACACGTAGCTCAATTACACCATGTGGAGTGACTCTCACTACCTCAAACGGGCCCGACCATCTCGATTTGAGCTTCCCCGGAAAGAGTCTTAACCTCGAATTGAACAAGAGAACCAATTGGCCCGGTTTGCACTCGCGATGGTATATATGCTTATCATGCCATCGCTTGGTCTTTTCTTTATATAACTTGGCATTCTCAAACACATGCAAGCGAAACTTATCAAGCTCGTTCAATTGCATCACCCGCTTTCTACCCACTAATTCTGCATCAAAGTTCAGCTTCTTTATCGCCCAATAGGCCTTGTGCTCAAGTTCCACAGGTAAATGGCATGCCTTCCCATAATCTAGCTTGTAAGGGGAGAATCCAATTGGAGTTTTGTAGGCAGTCCGGTATGCCCATAGAGCATCATCAAGCTTTGAAGTCCAATCTTTCCTACTTGCACTAACCGTCTTCTCCGGGATCTGCTTTATCTCTCTATTTGAGACTTCAACTTTCCCACTAGTCTGAGGATGGTAAGCAGTTGCAAACTTATGTTTGACCCATATTGCGCTAAGACACTGTCCAAGAGCTTGTTACAGAAATGGGTTCCCCCATCACTAATCATCACTCTCGGAGTGCCGAACCTTGTAAAGATATGCTTTTTCACAAAGTTGACCACAACCTTGGCATCATTGGTAGGAAGAGCAATGGCCTCCACCCACTTCTACACATAGTCAACGGCCACTAAAATGTACTTACACCCACTAGACAAGGGAAATGGACCCATAAAATCAATTCCCCACACATCAAAAATTTCAACCTCCATAATACCGTGCAATGGCATCTCATGCCTTTTCGTGATTGTTCCTGTTCTCTGGCACCTATCACACCTCCTCACGAACTCATNGTCACTTTCGGAGTGCCGAACCTTGTAAAGATATGCTTTTTCACAAAGCTGACCACAACCTTGGCATCATTGGTAGGAAGAGCAATGGCCTCCACCCACTTCGACACATAGTCAACGGTCACCAAAATGTACTTACACCCACTGGACAAGGGAAACGAACCCATAAAATCAATTCCCCACACATCAAAAATTTCAACCTCCATAATACCGTGCAATGGCATCTCATGCCTTTTCGTGATTGTTCCTGTTCTCTGGCACCTATCACACCTCCTCACGAACTCATGGGCGTCTTTAAACACCCTAGAATAATGACCACCATAAGGCAACGCATGGCAGTCATGTAAGATAGCATTTATTTCAGATTCGGGCACACATCTTCTCATTAACTGATCGGTAGAAGATTTAAACAGAAATGACTCATCCCACACATATGACCTCACATCTCGCAAGAACTTCTTTTTAGCATAAGTTTCAAGATCAGGCGGCATCTCTCCACTTGCCAGATAGTTCATAAAATCTGCATACCATGGAACCTCCCCAGCATTAATGGCCAACAGTTTCTCATCCGGAAATGTTTCCTTAATGACATCTCCCTCAGCTACATGATTCTGAGTTTCTAACCTGGATAATTGATCAGCCACTTGATTCTCTGTTCCTTAATGGTCTCGGATCTCCAAATCAAATTCCTGCATGAGTAAAACCCAACAGATTAGCCTTGGTTTAGCATCTTACTTTTCGAACAAATACCTAATGATTGCATGGTCTGTGTAGACGATTACTTTGGTGCCAACCAAATAGCCCCGAAATTTATCGAACGCCCACACTACAGCAAGCAACTCCTTTTCTGTCACAGTATAATTTATTTAAGCAGGAGTAAGAGTCTTGATTGCATAGTAAATGGAGTGAAAAATATTGCTCCTCCTCTGGCCCAACATGGCCCCAATTGCACCATCAATAGCGTCACACATCAGCTCAAATGGCTCTTTCCAGTCAGGAACCACTATGATTGGTGCACTCACTAATTTCTTTTTTAGCTCCTCGAATGCTTTCAGACAAGCATCGTCAAACTTGAATGGCATATCCTTCTCTAATAACCTACACCAAGGAGAAGAAATGTTTGAGAAATCCTTTATAAATCGGCGATAAAAACCTGCATGTCCCAGAAAACTCCTAACTCCTTTCACTGAAATCGGTGGTGGCAACTTTTCAATTGCTTCCACCTTAGGTTTTTCAACTTCCAGTCCATCTTTGGACACCTTGTGCCCCAGCACTATACCTTCACGTACCATAAAATGACACTTTTCCCAATTCAGTACCATATTAGTCTCCTCACACCTGGCAAGCACTTTAGCAAGATTGGTCAAGCATTCATCAAAAGAAGGACCTAACACAGAAAAATCATCCATAAAAACCTCCACAAACCATTCCACCATATCGGTGAAAATAGCCATCATACACCTTTGAAAAATCGCAGGTGCATTACACAACCCGAATGACATTCTCTTAAATGCATAAGTGCCATAAGGGCATGTAAAAGTGGTATTTTCTTAATCTTCCGGGGCAATAGCAATCTGATTATACCCCGAATAGCTGTCAAGGAAACAATAGTATTCCTGTCTGGCTAACCTGTCAAGCATTTGATCAATGAAGGGGAGGGGGACGTGATCTTTTCGTGTAGCATTATTTAACTTCCTATAATTTATGCATATTCTCCAACCAGTCACAGTCCTAGTTGGGATTAATTCATTTTGCTCATTCATTACAATAGTCATACCCCCCTTTTTAGGTACACATTGAACAGGGCTTACCCACTTACTATCGGAGATGGGAAATACGATACTTGTGTCGAGCCACTTAATCAATTCTTTTCTTACCACCTCTTTCATGATTGGATTTAGGCGGCGTTGATGTTCTACGCTAGGCTTGTGTCCTTACTCCATGAGTATTTTGTGCATGAAGAATGCAGGGCTAATACCTTTTATGTTAGACATTGTCCAACCAATGGTATGTTTGTGCTCCCTCAGCACCCTTAAGAGCTTTTCTTCTTGCAATTTAGACAAATGAGAAGAAACAATCACAGGTAAAGTGTTAGAACTACCAAAATATGCATAATGAAGATGAGATTGTAAGGGTTTAAGTTCCAGTTTTGGAGCCTCCTCAACTGAGGGTCTAGGGGGAAGGCCGATTGGCCTATCTAGAGGCTCAAACTGGTATCTTTCTCTTATGTATTCACAAGATGCATTCAAAATTTGCAACATCTCCTCATCCTCTTCTTCCAGTTCCAAGTGATTGAACAACATCAATGCCTTTTCTAGTGCATCTTCTTTAAATGCACTTGGCTCTACAACTGGTTCATTTATCTTCACCAAAGAAATCATGGCCAGGTCCTTGTAATGACGAGGCAACTGAATGGATCGATATACATTGAAGACCGCTTCTTAATTGTCTACCCTCAGGATCATCTTACCTTCTCGGACTTTGATAATGGCATCTCCAGGAACTAACTCATCAGCCTCGTAGTCCAGGATGATAAAATCTGCAGGGAAAATAAACTTCCCTATGTGCAGCAAGACGTCCTCAATTACCCCCTCAGGATAAACATAAGATCTATCAGCTAACTTTAGCAGGACCGTGGTGGGTCTCGGAGCTCCTAATCCCAATTGTTTGAACACTGACAACGTCATCAAATTGATACTTGCACCCAAATCACACAAGGCTCTACCCATATCAATTTCACCAATCCCCACGGGGATGGTAAAACTACCCAAAATCTTAAGCTTTTGTGGAAGCTTATGTTGAATCCTGGAAGTGCACTCCTCGGTAAGTGCTCCGGTCTCAAATTTAGTTAACCTCCTCTTATTTGCCACTATATCCTCAATATATTTTGCATATTTTGGGACCTCACGGAGCATGTCCACCAAAGGTATGTTCAAGTGTATCTGCTTCAGCATATAAAAGAATTTGTGAAACATGTGGTCATCATTCTTCTTTCTCATTCTTTGAGGAAAAGGATGTGGCACCCTCTCAAACTCTATTTTGTTTCTCTTATCTATCTCTACAGGTTTTGGCACTCTTTCTTCTTCGAGCCCAGACTTCTTCTTTTCCTTCTTGGCACTTCTACTAACTCTCTCCCATTTCTCAACGTCACTGCATGGACTTGAGAATTTTTCTCTGTATCACTTGGGAGAGCTCCAACATGTATAATATTCTGATTGTTAGCCACTTGCCCAAACTGCCTCTCTAAATTTATGAACTTTGTGCACAATTGTTGATTTTCAGCCATAACTTTCTGATTGTCTAGCAAGAGCTTTTTCATCATGTCAGTCAAAATCTCTTCTAATTATTGTGGAGGTTGAGGTGGATGATTATAATTCGCTTAAGGCATGATGTTCTAATTTCCACCTCAAGAGAAGTTAGGATGATTCCTCCAGTCCGGATTGTATGTGTTACCATATTGAGCATTTTGATTCATCGGCCCTCTAGCTTGTTGCCCCACGTAGTAGATGGATTCAGGATTCACGGGGCATATGTCACTTGTGTGACCTTCACCACATAACTCACAGCAAGTAGACATCTATTGCACATGCTGCAACTGTTGTCCTTGGTGCATTGTCATCTTATTCATCTGATTTGCTAATCTCGCTATATCTGCCCTCATGGCTGAGAAATCATCAAGCTCGATTACACATACTGCCTTTTATTTAAGTGCTCTTCGTGGTTCCCCATCTCCTTGCCAATTATTATCATTAGCAGTGAAATTGTTCAGCAGGATCTGGATCTCGCCATACGGTCTTGCCATGTAACTACCCCCACACGCTGGGTCAAGATTCATCTTTGATGCCTCGTCCAACCCATCAATGTAAGTGTGACCCAACACCTCATTAGTATGACAATGATGTGGGCAGTCTCTGAGTAGCTTCTTGTATCTTTCCCAAGCTTGATGAAGAGTCTCGCCATCTCGTTGTTGAAACCCAAGAATCTGGCTCCTCAGCGATTTTGTCTTCTTAGTGGGAAACAATTTGATTAAGAATTTCCTTGCTAGATCATCCCAATTGTGGATTGAGTTCGCGGGCTCCTTTTGCAACCATTCCTTAGCTTCCCCTAGCAGTGAAAAGGGAAACAGTGTCAGCATGACATAGTCCTTGGAAATGTTCGGATAATTGTAAGTGTCTGTAATTTCCAGGAAGTTCTGAATGTGCCTCTACGGGTCTTCATGAGATAGACCCACATATTTCCATGTGGACTCACAATCACTCATGCCACTCGAGCATACCTCACAATCGCTCATGCCTCCCGGTCACTCAGCACTCGGCACTTGCACTCAGTAGGTACCTGCACTCACTGGGGGTGTGTACAGACTCCGGAGGGGCTCCTTCAGCCCAAGCGCTATAATCTGCACGGGCAACTCATATGCTGCACGGACAACTCACGTGCTATAATAATAAAGTATATAAAGCATGCTGTAGGCGGGCAACCCCGATCCACATAATATTCCTCACAATCAGGCCCTCGGCCTCCCTCGGTCATCAATCTCTCCAGTCTCTCGGGCTCACAATGTCATGAAAATAGCCCAAACATGATGATATGATGTATCAATAAATAATAACAGAGACTGAGATATGATATGCAATGAAATGAATATGAATGAGTATGAATTTTTAATTTAAAACAAATAATTCACAGCAATATGACCTCTGTGGGTCCCAATAATACTGGCACATAACCTCAACATGATTTTTAATATGCTTTTCACATCAATTTCTTTAACTCATAAAACCGCATGGAAAATGCCAAGATCATTTAACTAAAAAATTCCACAGAAACAATTATGTCACAATTTCTATAGTGCACGCCCACACGCCCGTCACCTAGCATGTGCGTCACCTCCCAACAATTCACGAAATACATATATTCAGGGTTCATACCCTCAACTCCAAGATTAGAAGAGTTACTTACCTCGAACAAGCTGAATCCAATGTCGAGCAAGCTAAACAATGCTCCAGAAATTCCATTATGCTCGTATCAACTCCCGAACGGCTCAAATCTACCACATTTAATTTGATTCAGTCCACACAATTTATAGGAATTAATTCCATATCCAAATGCTAATATTTTCTACAAAATCCGAAATTACGCCCCAAAATATCACCCGTAGGGCCCACATCTCAAAATCCGACGAAACTCACAAAATACGGCAACCCATCCAATTACAAGTTCAACCATACTAATTTCACTCTAATCCAACTCCAATTTGGTATTCAAACTTGAAAAATTCGTTTTGTGACATTATAGAAATTTCCTTCTATTTCTCTTGAAGATTCAATAATCTTACACCAAAAATGAAGATTAATTCATGGAATATAATCACAAGGGAGTTAAGAACACTTACCCCAAGTTGTGTGGAAAAGTTCCTCTCGAAAATCATCCAACCCGAGCTCCAAAATCCGAAAATGGGTAAAAATGTTGAACTCTCGAATTTAAGGTTCTGTCCCATCGATTTCCGCATCTGCGGACAAGGGGTCGCACCTGCAACTCTCTCTTCTGCGGACAAAATTGCTCGCCTGCGGAAACAACCGGCCTTCTCAAATCTCGCATCTGCGGCGCCTTCTCGCATCTGCGGGCTCGCAGATGAGCATTCCCCTTCGTACCTACGTTCGCCCCACGCCGGCCCTAGTCTGCATGCGCTAACACCTTCGCACATGCGGCCTCGTAGATGCGTCGAATTCCTCGCACCTGCGAGCTCTACCTAGTTCCACACTTGGACGCTTCTGCGACTGATTTTGCGGACATGCGGCTTCGCACATGTGATCAAAAGCTTCGCAGGTGCGATCACACCAGTAGGCAGCAGTTCCAGAAGTGTTTCAAGTTGAATTTGTTCCGTTAACCATCCGAAACTTACCCGAGCCACTCGGGACCCCATCCAAATACACCAACAAGTCCTAAAACACACCACGGACGTACTCAAGGACTCAAATCACATCAAACAACCTCAAAATACAAACTACACACGGATTCAAGCCTAATAAATTTCGAAATTTCCAAATTCTACAAACGATGCCGAAACCTATCAAATCACGTCCGATTGACCTCAAATTTTGCACACAAATCACATTTCACATTATGGACATATTCAAATTTCTTGAATCGGATTCCGACCCCGATATCAAAAAGTCAACCCCCCGATCAATCTTCCCAAAAATTCAACTTTCGGCATTTCAAACCTAATTCCACTACGGACCTCCAAATAATATTCCGGACACGCTCCTAAGTCCAAAATCACCCTACGGAGCTTTTGGAATCATCAAAACTCCATTCCGGGGTCGTTTACACATAAGTCGACATTCGGTCACTATTTTAACTTAAGCTTTAAACCTTGGAACTAAATAGTCCAATTCATTCCAAAACTTCACCGGATCTGAACCATTTACCCCGACAATTCACACAACAACTGTGAAGTACAATTTGAGCAGTAAACGGGGTTGTAATACTCAAAACGACCGGCCGGGTCATTACATTCTCCCCCACTTAAACATACGTTCGTCCTCGAACGTGCCAAGAGTTGTTTCCAAGCCATCAAATCACTGTTCCATCTTACCACACACGTACCTGGGGGTGAACCCACGTCACCCTATTCCATGTAAGCTTGACAACACAATACAACTGAAAATCATTAATTTAACCTTAGCACATAAACTTTGGAGTGTAATTTCCAACCTTTAGAATTTCTTTAAAGACACGAATCTTACATTTACACACTGTATGAGTTTGAACAAGCTATATCAAGCCATAACCATGACTATAACCACAGACATAATCACCTAACATAATACACAACTCGCATGCTCGTAGCACACCATTCCTGATCACAGTGACTACTCCAAAACCAACCACATACTATTATTAAACCCATATCGAACCAAACCGCATCCCAAAACCTTTGTACAATGTTGATAATAAAAGAAACATGCGAAATTTCATGACTACTCACCAGATAAACAAGTCACGGAGCTCTCTCGCCCCAACTAGAATCGTAATCACTTTCTGAGCCGACTTTCAATATTATACTCCCAAATATACCGAAATTAAACTTGATAGTACCCATTCCAGGTCCAATGACCTTATATTACTAAATATAACTGTTCCACAGACATACCGCACCAATATAACTTGGAGCGACAACCCGTGCCACCCGTGCATCAATACGCAACCATTCAAATGTACTCAGTCAAGAAAATAAATGACTCAGATGAGAGAACTGCCCCACCAGATTAACAAGTACCGCCACAACGAAATGCTGAAAATTCATCACACGCCGTAGAACCATCACCCGATCCTAACACAAGGTTCATACCTTAACATAACTCCGCTGCAGTGCGTGACCCCATCCAAACGCTGGCCCATAATATATACCTCGAGCCACCCCACTCAAAATCAATAACCACAGAGAGGCAAATGACAAAAATGCCACACAAAACCTGAAAGAACATAACCATTACGCAATCGATCATGCAATACCCAAGTACTCATCACACTCAAATTCCGCTATAAAGTTCAAATAGAACCGCACCATCTGTGCACATAACCAATGAATCACAACTCCTC